CTACTACTACTACTACTACTACTACTACTACGACTACTACTACGACTACTACTACTACTACTACTACTACTACTAGTCACTTTCTGCCGCCTCCTCCTTATTCTCCTCCTCCTCCTCTGCGTCGCTCTTCATCATTTTCCTCCTCCTCCCTCTACTCCTTCTCCTCCTCCTGGTCGTCCTTACCTCCGAATCCAGGCGGCTCTGATACGGGCGTCAAGCCGTGGAGCACGCTCATTGGTATGGCTCTCGCCGCTGGGTGCCAACTGACGCCAGAAAGATCAGATTGAGGTCACGCACAAGTAGAGCGCAAAAGGGGGGAGGGCAAAGGGGCCAGCACCAGGACAACGGCAGAGCACGGGGGAGCGGTGCATTAGCCTACTTCTCTGAAGCGTGATCAACGCACACACACACACACACACCGAACAAAGAAAAACACGAAAAGCAAAAAACAAACAAAACTGTTCGGTCGCACGTCGCTGGGGCAGAGAGCCACTCGAGCGCTCGGGAGCCACGTCCGACGGCGCTACCGACCGGCTAAGCCAGGCACCCAGGGAAGTCCTGCACACACATACACAAATACACAAATATGTTTGGCGTCGCAGCCGCGCGCGGCGGCGCGGCGTATGTTAAGTCAAGTGGACAGCGAACAGGCCGACTCAGCTGACGCTGCGAGGAGAAGCTGGACCCACACATCGGGGATCGATCACAATTCTCGCGAGGGGGGTAGTCGCGAGAAGAGAGGAGATGGGTAAAAAGAGGAAACCAGGGGGGGCAGGAAGGGGGAACCAGGCACGGGAGAAGCACTGCGGCGCTGACTAGCAAAGGCATCCAGCGAGGCACAGAGAAGAACGGCAACGGCCGCCGACAAGGATGAAAAAACAAGGCGGCCTAAGAAAAACAGGGCCGGCCAGGGAACACACACGCAACCACAGACACACACAAGCACACACACGCACGCACACACACGCGCGCGTTTGGCGTCGCGGCCCTGCGCGCGGCGACAAGGCGTAGAAGGTCAGAGAAGCACTAAAGCGCGTGTCTACGCACGCACGGACACACACACACACACACACGCACGCACACATGCATGTATGTATCTATATATATATATATATATACACCTATGTGAATACCTATATATATATATATAGATGGTAGTTTCCCCCCGCAGGGGTCTACCTCATTATGCCTATTCTTAAGGAGCACTTTCGGCCTTCAAAGGCTTCGAAAATGAACCGCTCTCATTCCAACTCCATTTCGTTTCTGCGTTATCCTTCTCTGTCTCTCTCTCTCTCTCCGTCTCGTCTCTCTCTCTCTCTCTCTCTCTTCCTCCTCCTCCTCCTCCGCCTCCTCCTTCTCTTCCTCCTCCTCCTCCTCCTCCTCTTCCTCCTCCTCCTCCTCATCCTCATCATCGTTATCCTCCTCCTCCCAATCAGAATCCCCTTACGGGACAGAATCAAGCAAAGCCCTGCCAGGAGTCCAAAACGAGGCCCCCGCCTGAGAGGTCCCCAAAAACACACCCAAAAGGAAGCTCCCGCCTGAGAGGTCCCAACAAAAAACATTCAAAACGACGTTCCCGCATGAGAGGTAAAAAAAAAAAAAAAAAAAAAAAAAAAAAAAAAAAAAAAAATCCAAGAGCCACCCCTCTCATGCTTCTAATTGTCCCCCCCCAAAAAAAACATATACATATATATATATATATATATATATATATATACATACATACATATATATATATATATAGATGAGAGAGAGAGAGAGAGAGAGATCTCCTCCTCCCCTCCGACGGGGGCGGGCAAGAAGAGGAGGAATCGGGGGTGGGAGGAGTTCCCCTCTGAAACTTTGGGTTTTTTGTTTTGGGGAAAAATACAAGGATGAGAGGGGTGGCTCTTGGATTTCTTCTGGTTTTTGGGGGACCTCTCAGGCGGGAGCCTCGTTTTGAATGTTTTCTGTTGGGACCTCTCAGGCGGGGCTTCCTTTTGGGTGTGTTTTTGGGGACCTTTCACGCGGGAGCCTCGTTTTCAGTGCGTTTTGGGGGACCCCTGCGAGGCATCCTCCTCGGCACCCTTCTATCTTCATCCTCCAGCGACTGGGGCGGGGAGCGATCATATGTTATTCGTATTCATCATCCTCCGCCTCTCCTTCTCATTCCTCCACGTTCTCTTCGTTTTCCACGTTGTGCGGTGGGTTTCAAAGATGGCCTCAGACCGTTTGCCCTGGCCTGCCTTCTTCTCGCAACACTTCTTCTGAGCACGAGCGGGGAAGGCGAGGAAGAGCGAGGATGAGGAGGAGGAGGAAGAACGGCATGTGATGGAGGCATCCATGTTTGGGATGCCCCCGAGAGCACCACAATTACAGAAGAGAGTTCGCAAACGAACGGGGCCCGTTCCTAGGTGAGTGATCCCGCTTATCCTGCGCATTCCTGTCTCCCCCCCTCCTCCGCACCTGTTTCGGCTCAAGGTTAAAGTGGCCCGTCAAGGTTTAACTGGTTCCGCGCCCCGTGCTTCGCGCCGCCGTGGGAAACCCAAAGAGAGGGACCCCGGCCCACGAGAAGAAGCTGGTCAACAACAAGGCGCGCAGGGCCGCGAGGAGAGAGCAGGACCTGAGCAACAAGCCAGCAGTGGCCAAACTGCTGAGGGAGGCGCGCGCAGCAGCTCGCAGGTCCCTTGAGAGCGCGCCGGACGCGCGTTCCCGCCGTTCGAACCACCACTACAGGGAGAAGTACGCCGCGAACCACAAGGCCACCGCGGCAGAGGCGGTTGCCAACCGCCGCAAGGAGCAACTCACGGAGAAAACGGCCGCTCTCAAGAACGCCCGGGCGGAGCTGCGCGAGACGCGGGACTCTTTGGAGAAGGCGGGGAATGACCTGCAGAAGGCCAAGAAGACGCCCGACAAGGCTGAGAAGAAGACCGAGGAGGCTGAGGAGGCGCTCGAGAAGGCCACCGCTCCCTGGGAGAGCTGGCGGCGGACCCCCCAGGTACACGTGAAGCACCACTTGCCCCTTTGGGCGGCCAAGAAAGTGAGGCTCTTGGCGCAGCGCGGCCCGCCCCGCGGCCACGCGAACGACTGGGGCTGACGCGCGCCGCGCGCAGACTTGCCGAGCAGCTCCACTCTGGCCAGTGGAGCCACAGCGAAACACAGCGAGCGAGAGCGAGAGAACGAGGGGGAGAGAGAGCAGGGCAAGCGCAGCGGGACAGAGCGCCAAACGACGGAGGAGGAGCCACAGCAAAACACAGCGAGCGAGAGAGAGAGAGAGAAAGAGGGGGAGAGAGCAGGGCAGGCGCAGCGGGACAGAGCGCCAAACGACGGAGGAGGAAACGAACCAACTGCGCTGCCGATGTCCTTCTCAACATCATCGTTATCGTAGTTTGGGCTCAGCCGATGTTTGGGCTCATCTTGGTAGCCAGAGGCCCAGGGGAATACCCCACGAAAACATGTTTTAATCATACTTGTGATAACAACGCAACGTTCTCATCTTCTGCGGTTTGCTCGAAGTGCGGCTCAAGGGACGAGCCGCCCTGGCACCGCCTGGCTCGCTGCGCCCCCGCGCGCGCCCGCCCCCCCCCCCCTTTTTGGCACCGCGCGTCGCTGCGATGATCGCGGCGGCAACGGTCGTGAAGAACCTCACCATGCACAGGCTGACTTTTCTCATCCTCCCAGAGGACGAGACGGGCACCACAACTCCTGCCGAGGATCTCCCGTTTACACCTGTTGACACCGAGGCGAGCGGCCCAATGAAGAAGGTCGCGCACTTCGTGGACATCGTGTCCGATCACCGCGAAGACATCGACAGAGACGTTATGTTGGAGCATTTCCGTCGCAAGCCATTCAAGGACCTGCCCTTGCCTTTTCGCTTGAAGGAAGAGCCCCCGAGCGATTACACCATGCAGCTGTTCGTGGTGCCGAGGGACGACGGCGGGAAGTACATCGTCAAGCACTACGTCGCGAAGAACAATATCAACATTCACAGCCTCCCGAGCACGTGCGTTGGTCAGGCGCACAAGATCGCGCGGGGCATCCATGAGAAATCAAAAACGAAGGCTCTGCAGCACCTGCTCATGCACCTCCATGGCTTGAAGATCAAGAATTTCACGCTCGACCACCGCGACCTCAACAAGCAAAAAGAACTCATGGATGAGTCGAAAGTCGACCAGGGGTTCGATCACATCGAGGAGCATGCCCGTCTAATCCAGACTACGGGTCACCTTCGGTGGATCACCAAGGAGCTGAACGTGCCCTAACCGTGCGTGGCGTTTCATTAAAGACCGCACCCACAGGAGCGCCAACGCCAAAGCAGGAACCAAGCTGCTTGCCACCAAGGTCCGCCCGGCCCAGTACGACTACTGGCACAAGGACGACAACATGTGGGTCAAGACGGGGGGAATGGTGCAGCACATCATGCGCGACCTGCTGGCTGCGTGATCGGCCGCGGCAGAATTTGGGCGTAGACTTGGGTACTACGTCTGCACTACGTCGGGGGTCTGCAATGGGTACTCTCCACCGCGTGTACTGCGCCTGGAGGTCTGCAGTTCAAAGGGGATGCTCGCATTCAATTTTCTAGCACACGATCAGCTCATTGACAAGAACACAACATCACATCATCGCTTCGCTTGGACGCCCACAGATAGAACGGTTGACCCCTGCGGCGGGGTAGCATATGTATGTATACATATATATATATATATATGGCGTCGCGGCCACGTGCGCGGCGGCGCGGCGTACGTCAAGTCAAGACGACAGCGACCGGCCCGGCCCAGCTCACGCGGCGTGGAAAATCACTGGATCCGCACGTGGGGGATCGACAGCAATTCTCGCGAGGAAGGGCAGTCGCGAGGAGAGAGAGAAGGGGGAAAAGGGGAAATTGGGGGGGGGAAGAGGGGGGAGCCAGGAACGGGATAGGCAGTGCGACACCGACGAGCCAAGGCAGCATCCAGCGAGGCCCAAAGAAAAACGGCAACGGCAGCCGACAAGGATGGAGAGACAAGGCGGCGTAAGGAAACCAGGGCAAGCCCTGGAGCACACACGCAAACGCACACGCACACGCACACGCACACGCACACGCACACGCACACGCACACGGACACGCACACGCACACGCACACGCACACACACACACACACACACACACACACGCACACACGCACACGCACACGCACACGCCACACGCCACGCACGCACACACACACACACACCACACACAACACAACACATACACACACACACACACACACACACACACACACACACACACACACACACACACACACACACCACGCGCGCGCGCGCGCGCGCGCGCGCGTTTTTGGCGTCGCGGCCCTGCGCGCGGCGACAGGGCGTGAAAGGTCGGAAATCACTGAAGCGCGCGCGTCTACGCCCGCACGAATCTACACACACACAGCCAGTCTCGTTGGCCGCGTGGCCGCAGCGAGCGGCCTCGGCCCCTGAGGGAGAGGAGAGAGAGAGAGAGAAGGAGGAAGAGAGAGTGAGAGAGAGAGAGAAGGAGGAAGAGAGAGAGAGAGAGAGAAAAAAAAAAAAAAAAAAAAAAAAAAAAAAAAAAGAGAGAGTGAGAGGGTGAGCGAGAGGCGAGGGCACGGGACTGCGAAGGATGTGCCCGACCCAGCGGGGGAACGAGCGCGGAGGATAGCGAGGGAGGGGAGCGGGGTGCGGGAGGAGGCGGAGTCGGAAAAGGCTGGGCAGGAGGAGGCGAAGGAGGAGGCCATCGAAAGGCGGGCGCGGCATCGCCGATGCAGTAACACCCTGGACCTCGCGACTGCACCTGGGCACATCCCTGAAAATAGACTCGGGGGAGGCTCAAGTAGAAGCTGGAAGTCGGGCTGGTCCACCTCATCCTGGCCTCTCTGCTTCGACTCGGCGTCTGGCCACCTCCCCACCAGCCCGCCTGTACTGCGAGCACTGCACGACGACCCCATCGATCTGGTGCTCCATCTGCAGCACGGTGTTAACCACCGACTGGCGTGCGCGGGCGAGAACGACGGGGAAGCACGGGCCAGGAGGCGACCCGGGCGCGAGCCAGAAATCAACCCCAGAGCCGAGGCCGACTCCAAGCAGGGAGGAGCGGCACCGGAGCGCTCGAGCAACCATTCGGGCTTCGCACTGCTGGAGACGCTCCCTGACGCACTGAGAGGCACGAGTCTGGGAGAGTTGGGCCAGATGGTCGCATTCAGCCTTGTCCTGCAAAATGCTTCCAGGACAATATCCACGTTGCCTGGTGAGATATCTGACGGCATGCAGAGCTTAACATCTGGTATAGTAACCTAGAGCCGTCGAGGGATCCTGCCACATTCCTGAATCACAGCAAAAAAAAAATGCGCCTCGCGTCAAGGAAAGCTCACTGCTTCAATCCCGCAGCAAGACTACCTCCGATCAATGCCTGTGCGGGTGCTGCGCACCGTGCCTGCCAGCACCTCATGACAAGCCAACGAAAGCGAGGATCCCAGCAAGACCCAGACAAGGAGCTTCGAGATTATAGCATGCGAGCTACATAAAGCTCCTCCGTTACACAATCGAGCATCAATCACGGAAGAGCCAGAAGGCACGCTCCGCTGAGCTCCGCTGCTAGCGGCTAAGCCCGACCACGTCGCGGGCAGAATTCAGTAAGCCGTGAGAAGGCTGTGGCTGCGATCTGACGCTCAGGAGACGAGGTCACCACGGAAAGACACACAGAAAGGGGAGCGAGCAATGGGCCAGTTGCTTTCAGGTTGCGCAGCACATACGTGCAGCATGCTGCTGCTGGGGCACGGTCCCCTTGCCAAAGACGGGAAAACTCACACAGAAAATACCCGCCAACGGTGCCTCGAGACGCGTATATGGAGTGCTCCACCACAAGGCTCATGCAGCCCTGAGAGGTAAAGGTCTTGTAAGACTCGTAAGTGTTTTTTTTTCAGCGCTATTTTGGAGAAGGGGGAGGAAGAGGCGAAAGGGAGACCGCGCCAACGAGCGACCACCACGAGGAGCTGGCAGGCCATACTGCCACAGGACCGTTATCGCCCTGACTCCCATTCGCAAGCATGCCCTGACTTGTAAGACTCGTGAGTGCCAGGACCCCCCGTGTCCCAGGCACTCTTGGGCTTCTGGTCGCTTCCAGCGTGTTCTCGGTGGGTCTCCGGGGCGGCAAGCCCGCCCAGGAGGGCCCCAGAACGGGCCTGGAAGAGGCCCCCAAACGGTCCCAAGGGGCCCCAAGTCGCCCCAAGATCGCCCCCAGACGCCCAAGATGGCCTCAAGACTGCCTAAGAGGCCCCAAGAAGCTCCAAGGGAGCCCCAAAAGAACCCCCAAGAGGGCCCAAAAGTCCCCAATCGCGCCCCAGGACTGCCCAGGAAGCTCCAAAGAGGGCCCCAAGACGCCCCAATAGGGCCTCAAGGCACCCAAGAGAGCCCCAAGAAGGGCCCAAGAGGGGAAACACGAACGGACATTTCGAGCAATCCGACCCAAGATGGCCCCAAAGTGCCCGCCCGAGGCTTCTGAGGGCCCCCCGAGACGCCCCAAGAGGCCCCCAAAAGGACCCCCAGAAGCCCCCACGAACCTTCCAAGAGTCCCCCGAGAGACATCCCAAGAAACACGCAGATGCATCCAAGAGGCCTCAAACCACACCGCAGGCACGGTGGCGATATGGGCCGAAGGCCATTAGATCCAAATGATACATGCTCGAATAATTCGGAGGCGCCCAGTCGGCGCCCTTCAGATCCAGGGCACGGGAAACTTCCAAGACGGCGAGCCCGCTGCGAGGACAGTGTCACGACACTTTTTCTTGGCCAGGGACCGGGAGCCGTGCCACCCCTTCGCCTTCCACTCGGCTGAGCCCTTTGGCCCGCCTGCGCCGCCCGCCCGCCCGCGGCAGGGGCCGCCACGGCCTGCTCCTGGAAGTTCACGAAGGCGAACCCGCGGCTGCGCCCCGTCGCCCCGTCCTTCATGACGTAGGCGTCCTGGCGGCCGGCCGAAGGGGGGGGGAGGGCCAGCCCGAGGGGGGGGAGGGGGGCGGTGGGCGGAGCCCACGCCGGGCCCGTCTTTCCCCCGGGCTCGGACCCTAGGCCTTCGCAGAGATCGATCCTCCTCCTCCTCCTCCTCCTCCTCCTCCTCCTCCTCCTCCTCCTCCTCCTCCTCCTCCTCCTCCTCCTCTCCTCCTTCCTCCTCCTCCTCCTCCTCCTCCTCCTCCTCCTCCTCCTCCTCCTCCTCCTCTCCCTCCTCCTCCTCCTCTCCTCCTCCTCCTCCCTCCTCTCCTCCTCCTCCTCCTCCTCCTCCTCCTCCTCCTCCGCCTCCGCCTCCGCCTCCTCCTCCTCCTCCTCCTCCTCCTCCTCCTCCTCCTCCTCCTCCCCCTCCTCTAGCCGTGACTTCTCACGACGCTGCAGTTTGTGTCGCAGCCTCGGAGCTCGGGGACTCGGAGCCTCACCCACCTCCACCTCATCATAATTACCCTCTTCATCCTCGTCCACGTCTCCTTCATCCTCTTGTTCACCTCCCTCTCCTCCTCCTCCTCCTCCTCCTTCTCCTCCTCCTCCTCCTAGCCGTTCTGGCACAATTCATGTTTGTGCATGCGATCACCGATCTTCAGAACGGCTGGGTGTTCGCGGGCCAGAGTGGCTCGGACACCCTTTCCTCTCACGGCGGCGCTACGATGGCTCCTGGTGGCAAGCCTCGTAGCGGCTACGACGCCACCAAGGAGTGGACTTGCGGGCATTGCGGATGCCGCAAGAACTTGGGGAACTACACGTAGTGCAAACACTGCGGTAAGAAGTGGACTGAGCCCGTTCCAGGTGACGGTCAGGCCAGAGGTGGAGGGGTCCCCCGTGGAGCGGCTGCTGCTGAAGTTCGCCGTGCTGCAGCAGACGCAGTGTCGGGAAGGCCTCCACCCGCGCGGCCTGCTTCCGCCCCGACTGCGACCAAGTCTGAGCTGCAGCAGCTGGTGGAGCTCAGCGCCAAGGTGGGGGACGCGTCTCTGCTATCCTTGGCGCAAGAGAAGGTGGCCCAGTTGGCGCAAGCCCCTCCGCCCCCGCAGCAACGGGCGGACGCGGCCTTCAAAGAGATCCAGCGGCTCGAGAAGAAGTTGGATCGCGATCTGGACCACGTCCACGGCCTTGAACGAAAGTTGGCTCTGCAGCGCGCGGACTTGGAGGTCACGCTGCAGGAGCTTGAGCGATACGATCAGGAGCACAAGTCTGCCATCTCAGAGCTGCACCTGTCTGTCACGGTCCAGCCGTCTCAGCCACAGCAGGAGGCCCCAGCCGCCCCAGTGCTGCGCCTGCAGGACATCCTGGATGGCAAGCTGTCCTCGTTCGTGCTCGACGACGGCGACATGTTTGGGTTGGCGGAGCTTCAGGACGTTACCCCAGAAGACCTACGTGAAGCCCAGTCTCGGAAGGAGCAGTTGTCAGAGCGCATCACTACCCTCACGACGGCCCTGTTCGGGGAGGTTCAGGCTAAGTGCGTCCAGCTTAAGAAGAACCACCAGGAGCAGGCCAAGCGGCTCGAGAAGAAGCGGAAGACGGACGCCGAACCTGCTGCTGCTGGCGCACCTGCAGGAGACGCCGCTGCCGCCTCTGAGGCATCGGGAGCGTCGGCCTCGGCTGCTGGAAGCAAGGCCGCCCCTGCGCCGCCTGTTGCCCCAGGCGCCCCGCCTTCCAAGCCTGGCGCCTCTGTCCGTGCCCAGGTTCGCGAGGCGATCAGTAGGGCACCGAACAAGGCGCCCCCCGCGGTCCCAGACGGGAAGGCGCCGCCACCAGCGGGCCCCCCAGCCAGGGGGGCGGCTTGCTCCTAGCCAGACCTGTGCCGAGCCATCACTTTCCTCCTACCCTAGACTCCCTACCTCCTGCCCAGTTTTGGATGCCCCACGGAATCCGCGTCAGCATCGCCCTTGGGACCATGGAGATTTTGTTGCTGCTAATGAGTCTATTGAACTGGAGATAGTGACGGCTAACGGCACGGCTTGGAGCTCGCTCCAACAATGTTTGGGAATTACCTCGGCCCACATCGTGCTCGTCCAGGAGCACAAGCTCATAAGCGCTGAGGACATCAGGTAGGTTTCGGCCTGGTGTGTGCGAAACGGGTGGGAAGCCAGCTTCGAACCTGGAACCCTGGGGCCTGGGGGGGGGCCCTTCGGCTGGGGTCGGGGTCCTGGTTAGGTCCTCCCTCGGGTTGCACCACCCCGATTTTGGCCCCACGATTCGGCCCCACAGGGCCCTCGGTGCTCTCGCCCACCTCCCAGGTCAGGCCTCTTTCTACGTTGTTAGTGTCTACCTGCCGGATTGCGTTGGACTCAGCGATTTCAATCAGGATATTCTTGCTGGCGTAGCGGCGCGAGCAAAGAGCATGTCTGCGCCGTTCCTTGTCGGTGCCGACTTCAACTTGGAGCCCGCCGTGCTAGCAGGCTCGGCGATTCACCGAAGGATGGGAGCTGACATTGCATGCCCCCCTGGTGTCGAGGGCACCTGTCGCAGCACTGGGGGCGTGAAGATGTTCGGTGTCTTCCTTTGTTGCTCCAGCCTGGCGCAGGGGATTAAAGGCGTGAAGATAGTGAGCGATTCGGAGTTGGCGACGCATGACCCTGTCCCCCTCAGCTTCCACCCCTCCCTTGCGTCTCTCAAAGCTTTGACCTTTCGACGTCCCCCACCATTGCCCACTAGTCGGCCCGCGGGACCTTGCCCTGAGCCCCCCTTTGAATGGGGAGTTTGGGATCGGTTGGCCTCCCGAGCCCTGGCTGTGGCCGAGAGTGGGGAGACTGATGCTACCCATTATCATTTTGACATCATCTACAAACATTGGGCCAACACGGCTGAAAAGGAGCTCGAAGGAGCGCCCCAGCGCCGCCTTTCGCACCACGGCAGTCGTGGGCGCCAGGCGGAGTAGCACTGGGTCAGCGTGCTGCAGCCGAGTTCGGCCTCGATGGAAGGTGCTTCGTCGACGTCGCAGTTGGCTTCGCAGCCCCGCTGGCTCAGCAATCGGTATCGGCTTTGGCTGCAGCTGCACGCCTTAGGAGCGTCGACGGCTGAGCCCGAGCACCCCTCCTCCCCGCGTTTTGCTCGTAGCAGTATAATCGAAATAACAATGTCAGGACGCGCCGAGCACAGCTCGGCACGCAGCAGCCATCTCTGTGCCACGGCTGCTGAGCTTTTCAATCCCCCTGCCAGGCTGGGAGAGTGGAGCGGCCACGCGGCCGCGCTACTTCTGCGCCGCAGGAATGTCGTCACCCACAGCCCTCCTGGTCAGTCCGTCGTCTCTGGGGAACCTGAATATGCCCTGGGTGCGGTCTCCCAGGCCCAAGCTGTGGCCGAGAACGAACATCGTTGTGCTGAGAAACGTAAGTGGGTGTCATGGCTTAAGACCAACATTGAGTCTGGGGCTCGGCATGCCCATGGGGTGGTTCGGGGGGGCCCTGCTTGGACCCCCATCCACGACCCTCAGCGTCAAAGGCGAAGTTGTTTCGGACCCACAGGCCCTCCTTGAGTCCGAATGTGCTAAGTTTTCTGGTTTTTGGCATGCCGAAGACCAGCAGGCTCCCCCGGCGACAGGTGCCCGCTTTGAGGTGCTCGAGCCCTTGCCCGAGTTGACCCCAGCCGACCTTCGTCGTGTCTCTAGGTCTTTCCCGAAGCACACGGCCACCTCGGTCGACGGCTTCCATGTTAGCCACTTCAAGCACCTCTCGGATCAGGCGCTTGTCGCCCTCTCTCGTCTCATCGCCACGCTCGAGAAGTCAGGGCACTTGCCAACGCAGATGCGCGCGCTGCTGCTCATCACGCTTGCCAAGCCCGATGGTGGTCACAGACCGATAGGATTATTCGAGTCTGTGTATCGTCTCTGTGCCCGCGCTCGTCGTGAGCATGCTCGCAGGTGGGAAGCGGCTAACAGCAGGGACTTCTTCGCCGCGGGCTCCTTTGCCTCGAGCGTGGACACTGTCTGGCGGCAACGCGTACGTAGTGAGAAGGCTGTTGCTTCCGATGTATGCTCCAGTTCGGTTCTTTGGGACCTTCTCAAGTTTTTTTTATGAATCGGTCGACTTGGATCTTCTCTTGCCGCGTTGCCGCCAGCACGGTTTCCCCATGCAGATTGCGAGAGCATGCGATGTGGCTTACCGCGCCTGCCGCTACATCGCCATGAACAGCAGGGTCATCGGGCCCAAGTTCGCATGGCGAGGTATTGTGGCAGGCTTCCGTCTTCGCGACCACTTTAATCCGTGTCTTCAGCTTAGCTGCCTTGGATGGGCTCAGCCTGCCAAGATCGGTCTCGTTGAAGATATATATCGATGATTGCACCTTGTCGTGCCAAGGGACCGCTCCGACGGTCGTTAATGACCTCCTGGAGGGGGCCATTAAGTTGCAAGTAGTCATCGAGGGCGATCTTGGCTGCGCGATCGCTGTCAAGAAGGCGGCAGTTCTCGCCTCGCATCTTTCTGTTGCTAAGGCCGTGCGCCAAGGTCTTGGCACGGTGGGCGGAGCGCCGTGTGACTCCGCTGTCAACCTCGGCATCGACGATGCTGCTGGCAGGCCCCGTCGCGTCGCTCGTCGAGGAGGCAGGTTTAAGGTTCGTAAGACCCTGTTTTCGGCCAAGGTTGCTCGTCTGACTCGTCATAAGAGAACCCTCGGTCGACACTCGCGTCGAGTTTTCGCGACTGGGCCCCTTGCCAGCCGAACCTACGGTTGCGAGGTGCACGGCACCTCGGACCATGAGCTTTTCACCCTTCGGAGAGCCATGGGTCGTTTCTTGCAGCCCTCCGCTGGAGGGAGATCTCTCACGACAGCTTTGCTGTTCGCCGCTGACCCCACCTGGTACGCGTCCGTCGCGCCCATTGTGAGGTGGTCTAAACAGATCTGGGCCTGCCTGGCGGGGGCCTACCAGTTCGGCCTCAGCTTGGCCGAGCTCCGCGGTGCCTGGGCTGTGGGTTTTTCGGGGCCTCTCCAGCCGTGGCGTCACGTGCGCGGCCCTGTGGGGGCCTTTCGTCTCTCGGTGGAGCGTCTTGGGTGGAAGATGCCGAGCTTCAGCATGCTCGTCGACGACCTGGGGGTGGAAGTTTCCCTTACCCTGGTTTCGCCTTGCCTCCTGAAACGTCTCCTCCGTGCTGCTGTTTTGAGGAATCTGGAACGTGATTATGGGCGGTCCCTGGGCCTGGACCGTAGAGTCCGTTTCGACGTGGCCCTCGCGGCCATGAGTTCTTCAAAATTCACCCCCTTCGAGAAAGGGTGCATTAGAGGTCTTGTCTGCCAGGCGCCCTGGACCAAGGCTCGAGCCGAGGACCACGGCTACATCATGCATGACGCGTTGTGCCCGCTGTGCGGCGTGGCAAGGGACACCATTTTCCACAGGCTGTGGTGCTGCCAGCACGAGTCGGTCGCCCAGGCCCGAGAGGACATCCTCGGAGAAAGGTTTCAGTTTCGGCCGCTGGAGTACGACTCGCTGTCGGATGCTGACAAGATGATGTACACGATGGGGCTGTTTACCCACCCTGGTGATATATTCCCACCCCCATGGATGTGCGAGCCCATCTATGAGCATTTTGACGATCCTGATAAAGACGATTATAGAGTTTCGGGGAATATCTTCATGGACGATTATTGTATTCGCTCGGTCATAAGAGAATTATCGAGGACGGGGTGGAGTTATGTCTCGGTGTCCGATTCTGGGCAGGAGCTGGGTCATGTCTATGCCCCCCTCCCCTACCCCATTCCCCAAACGGCTCAGGCTGGTGAATGTGATGCCTGCACTGCTGGTTGCCAGAATGCTGTCTTTCCAGATTTGGGGTATAGCGATTGCCAGAATGTAGCAGCTCTGTGGGCCCTCCCTCGTAGTGAACACTTGTCGCATAAGCGAGTGCACTCGGGTATGTTTGTTTGGACCGCAGACAGTCAAATGGGGCCCATCCATAAAGTGAAAGGCCACATGTCGGACGAGCAGGTGGGTAATGATGCCTATCTGAAGTTCTGTAAGACGGGGAACGACCTCGCCGACCACTATGCTAAGCTTGGGGCCCTAGCTCACGAGAAGCCGAGCCCTGAGCAGCAAGAGTGGCTCGATAAATGCCTGTCGGTCGTTCGCAAGGTTTGTGTTTTGGCTGCCCGTGTGGTGCCTCTCTGGCCTCCGCTCGACTTGTCGGAAGCCACTCGTGCGCCCGTCGAGCCGAAACCAGTGCCAGTCAAAGTGCCCCATCTTTGGAAGAAGGTGGGTAGCTTCTGGCAGTGCAATCACTGCCTCACTGTGTGCCGTGGGGTTTTCCCGCGGGATAATTCGAGTTGCACGAAGAAGCATAAGCTCCAGGTTGACGTCCTGCAGCTTCTGGAGCACAACTGTCTTGGATTAGCGTGTTCAGACGGCGGCATAGTCTGTGTCTGTGTCCGTTGTAAGGAGTTTTCCACTGGCAATTACGTTCGCTACCTGGCTAAACCGTGCCCAGGTAGGCCTCATAATATTAGGTGTTCTAAGTATTACTGGGACAGAATTTCGGCTGGCAAGCACCCAAAGCTTTCGGACGTCTGGCTTGATGCGGATGCTAACAGTGTTGTTCGTCTCTTTAATACCTCCTAGGCCTGTATCTGGCCCAGCCTCTCGGTCTCGTGTCGCGGGGGCATGGCCCTGATATATGGTTTCATGGCATGTATGACCCGTCTGTGCCATTTAAGTGCCGTGCTCGACGGCCGCCTGGCTCCCAGTGCCAGGCCGACTGCGGGACGCCGTGGAGAGCAGCGTAGCGGTAAAATCCTCCTCCTCCTCCTCCTCCGCCTCCTCTCCTCCTCCTCCTCCTCCTCCTCCTCCTCCTCCTCCTCCTCCGCCTCCTCCTCCTCCTCCTTCTGCTCCTCCCTCCTCCTCCTCCTCCTCGTCCTCCTCCTCCTCCTCCTCCTCCTCCTCCTCCTCCTCCTCCTCCCCCTCCTCCTCCTCCTCCTCCTCCTCCTCCTCCTCCTCCTCCTCCTCCTCCTCCTCCTCCTCCTCCTCCTCCTCCTCCTCCTCCTCCTCCTCCTCCTCCTCCTCCTCCTCCTCCTCCTCCTGTGTGCTCCGCGTGGCCG